ATCAACAGGGGATTCTGCTTCTTTATCCAAGCCACTGATCAAAAAAGAAAGTTAACAAGGACAGGAGCAATGACAGAACCAGAGTCAGTTAGGGACTGAAGACAAGGAGTGAGAGCAGGCACCAAGGGCAAATGAGGAACAGAGAAACCAGCTGTGTTTGGTCACACTCATGCAGCCTGCCACAATCTATCTTGGCCTCTTCAACACACACCCCACAGCCTTTTCTCTCAGCCTAAGAATTAGATGAGAGGTCCATGTGAGCTGCCCCATCCCCTACTCAGAGTAACCATCAGCCACTGCCCAGTCATCTCCCACAGCTTGGCAACTCAGATCTGAATGCTGATCATGTTCGTGTACAGGGACAATGACTGCCTGTACGGGCCTGCACCACAAAGCACCCCACAGACACTTGTTATTGAAACTCTTCCCCATCATTCATTGAGAGGAGCTGGTCATCACCATCATACTGAGTGGGAAAACACAGCTCAGGAAGTTTCCCGGCTAACAAGGAGGGGAGCCTGGCATCCCAGGCCTTCTGTGTGACCCAACTCAACCCTGTCTTCTTTTCTCTATACCATCTGTCAACCTGGATCCAAATTCCAGCTCTACCCAATAATAATAATGTCATTAATAACGACAGCTAATATTTACTGAGCAATAGTTACCCTGGGCAGACCTACACTCAGCGGTCTATGAGCCCAGTTCTTCAACAACCTGTGAGGGAGGTGCTCTTGTCCTCCACCATTTGTGGCAGACCATTAATTGGAAACCAACATCCATTCTCCTTTCTTTGATACTACTAGAATTCGTTATATATCTGGTCAAGGCTACCCAGAAAATTCTACACCTCTTAGCCTTCCTCGCAGTTGTACGTGACTATGGGACTACTTTCTGGCCAGTGGGATATAAGTAAAAGTGTCACGGGAAAACATCTAGAAACTTTCTTAATAACTGACATGAGCACTCTCTGCCCCTTCCCTCCCTCCCTTCTCCTCCCTGCTGGATGGAATAAAGACATGATGGCTAAAGCCTGAGCAGCCCTGTTAGACCTTGAGACAAAACTGGGAAGAGATGCTGTGTGCAGGAGAACAACAAAACTGAAGCAGCTTAGGTCCCAGACCACAGCTGGCCACCTCTGGGCTTTTCTGTGAATAGGAAATGAACTTCAAGCTTGTTTAAGCCTATAATTTTTTAGGCCTCTGTTACTCACAGCCCAACCTGATTGTACATGATATATCACCTCACATGCAGAAGAGGTAACTAGGCTCAGGGAAACAGTCACTCGCCCAAGGTCACACAGTACATAGGTCAAATAACTAGAATTTGAACCCAGAGCCCTATGACTCCAAACTCTAAGGACCTAACCATGGTATTTTGCCTCCTGGTATTGTGCCACCGTGGACAAATTGCTTCACCTTTCTGAAACTTTCTGCAGGATAAGGCCTAGGTGAAGAGCTTAGAGAGGTCAAGGGTCATAAAGACGGTTTTGTCCCCTTGCTATGTGACTGTAGGTCATGCCTCTCTAAGCCTCAGGTTGCTCCCCTGTCAAATGGAAATAAGAACCACCTCCTAGTCTGGGGTGAGTATTTGATGAAGTGGAGATGCATGCCAAGTGCTTAGCACAGTGGTTAACGCAGAAATGCTCATCGTCAGCAAGACCTTTAACATAGGAATCATCCATATCCACCTCTCTGAACTACTGAAAGGACTAGAAAGAATGTACCAAAGTGGCAGGCACTGGGCCTGGCACACCATGTGCTGTTAACAAATTGCAGCTATTCATTCCTGAGGACTATGGCCAACACTGACCCAGGCCCTGCCCTTATGGTCATGTTATAGTTATTCTGACACCACCAGAGACGGGCTCTCCCTCCAGTTCAGTGGTTCCTTCCTGGGTGATAGAGGAAACTGAAGAGCTCTCAGAGCCTCCCCTCCTCTGCGGATTGGGGTTAACAGCAGCCTCTGTCTCATGGGTGACTGTGGGGATTCAAAAAAAATCCATGCATGTAAAGCACTCTCACATAGCCTGGTGCCTGAAAAGGACCAATTAAATGGTAGCTGCTATTGTTATTATTGTTTTATTCACCTATTCTTTCAAACCATATTTGATGGGCCTCACTCTGGGATGCAAATGCGACCCAAATATACCTAGTCCCCAATCTCACAGAGTTGGGTTTTGTGTGAGAAAGAGTGGGTGTGTGTATGTGTGTATCATAATGCATTAAATTCCACAAAGGGGAAGGAAAGCGAGCTATGATGGCATTTATGGGGAACACCTGACTGACCCTGAGAGGAAGACAAGACTTCCCTGAGACTGAGATCTGACAATTGAGCAGTAGCTAACAGGTATGGGAAGAGGTCATACAAAAGTCCTGTGGCCAGTGTTTGGGTCAGCGGAGGAATATCAAGGAGGCCAGGATTACTTGAGCAAAGGAATAAGGCAGAGAATGGCATGAACGAGGCATAAGTCTGGAGGAGGAGCAAAAGCCAGACCATACAGGTCCTTGAAGGCTATGATGAGGACCCTGGGTTTTCTTCCCAGGGCAATAAGGGAATGATGGAAGAATTCTGAGCAAAGGACGAACTAGGTCAGTTTTGTGCTTTAGAAATACCTCTCTAGCCCCTCTGAGGAGGGCAGATTGGAGGGGACAGGACTGGAGGACAGACTGGGGAGGAGGCTAGGGCAGTAATAAAGCAGTAAATAAAAATGTCTATATAAATGTCATCTGACAGGAGAACTAAACCTGTAAACAAGTGCCATTTCAAGCTGGGGTCCCAAGGGCAACTATGAGTTAACAGGGGAGGGAAGGCATTAGAGGCCAAAGCCCTGTGATGGCAGAGATGGAAAAAAGGCCAGTGGAGTTGTGCAAGGATGAAGCATAGAGGCCAGATCACAAGAGTTTTTCAGGCCAGGGGATGGAGTTTGGTCTTTTCTGCAAAAGCAACTGAAGCATCAAACAGAAGAGGGAAGTGGTTAGATTTCACTTAATGAGCACTGATGGCACTTCCATCATATTGAAGCATAGAGGCCAGATCACAAGAGTTTTTCAGGCCAGGGGATGGAGTTTGGTCTTTTCTCCAAAAGCAACTGAAGCATCAAACAGAAGAGGGAAGTGGTTAGATTTCACTTAATGAGCACTGATGGCACTTCCATCATATGCCAAGCCAAACCTCAAGAGTGGCTGAGCTTTTCTGGGCACAGGGAATACAGCAATAAGAAAGACAACGATCCAAAGGTGGCCAGTCTTATGTCTGGACTGCTCTGAATGTTACAGATTTCCCACCTTCCTGCTAACACCAAATCTGCATTCTGAGGCCACACCAAACAACACAGTATGCTATAAAAAACACAACCCCTCAAGTTCTTACCAGTGATTATGCTCAAGAAATGATTAACAAATATTCTCCTGAGGAAACAGAGCTCATATCTTGGTACACTTACAAGCCCAACTTTTACCAGAATAGGAAGCCTCTGGAGGATCTCCCACCCCAGACGAAAGACTGGCTACTCACGATCTTTTCATAGTACTCTCGCCGCCGCTCCGCCCTCTTCTTGTAGTCCACCATCATGCCTCGAAGTTTCCGCTCATGCTTCCGAGCCTCGTGCCACATTGTGGTGAGGCCAAGCCTGAGGCCTCAACCTGGGGGATGAGGGGACCAGGGGTGTCAGATGGGCTGTAAAACCCATATGGGCAAGAACCAGTCTTCTAACAAGTTGGTGACAGAGCTGATCCTAAATAGCACGTCTCTCAGTTTTAGGGAGCGGAAGTGAGGCTGCAGAACTGTGTGCCAGATGCTCAAGTGTATCCCTGACAATTCTGATCCAGTAGCTCGGACATTCTGGCAAACCCTTAGGTGATTCTGGGATGAGCATCCCTGGGAACGGAGTGTCCTAGATTCCACAAGCGCTGGAGTCAGGGATGAAAGGTTTTGGAAAGTTGAAAGTGTTTGAAGGAAGGTCACAAAGCAGAACCTGACCAGCTAGGGCTGGAGCTCAAGGAAAGAGGAAAGAGCTGAAAAGGATCCTACCAGTGGCCTTCCGTGGGGGTGGGTATGGGTATGAGTTGTGGAGCGATAATGATGAAGGCAAGTGGAGATGGTATGGAGGTGTGTGTCGAGGGTAGGTGAAGGGACGGGATGGAAGATGACGAGGCTTGAGGGAGGAGGGGGCTCATGCGTGAGCACTGTAAGGAAAGACCGGAGTAAGGCTGAGGTCTAAAGAAGGGATCTGGGGGGTGGGGGGCCGGTATCCAGGTAAAAAGTGGGTAGGGCATGAAGGCGGAGTAGCTGAGTAGCTGGCTGACAGGAGGTGGGCTGAACTGGGGGCAGAGATTGTGGAGGGGGCGGAGACCGAGGGTTTGGACAGCGCTTGTGGACCAGGTCGGGGCCACTGGGTTTGGGCTAAGCTTTTTTGACAAAGGGGTGGGACCTGTGACAAGCGGCGGGGTCGAAGGCCGAGTCGGACGCGGCGAGTTAAGGCCCACGGCGGGGGCGGGGGCGCGGCCTGAGGCCCATCAGGCCGAAGGGGATGTGGGGCGGCCGGTCCTCGGCGCTGGGGCCAAGCACAGGCCCACAGCAACACGGGGAGAGCCCTAGGCAAGGGAGAAGCTAGGCTGACGCCCGCCCGAGAGCCAAGAGGTTGGAGCCTTCCGCCCGCACTCACCGGCAGGCCGCCGCCTCCCACCGCCCCACGCCCCCCCCGCCCGCCCCCCG